TGTGTCACAAATCAGATCCATGCAAGACTTCTCACTGGCAAAAGCGATACTGGAAGATCATGGTGTGATCTCCAGAGCTGGATTCTATCTCCAGCCCAACTCCTAGCCAAGTATGAGGATAGAACCAAGTAATAAAAAAGGCTTTTTAAATGTTTCATTGAAGGGTACCTGCATAATGAACATTTGTATACCTAACTCTGAATTGTGCCCCCACATTTTTAAGATAAAAAAATTAAAATTTTTAAAAAATAAATAAATAAAGAGATGTTTCATTGAATTTCTCTCACAATTCTTTCTTAACATTTTTCTCTCACAATTCTTTCTCTCACAATTCTTTCTTAACATTTTTCAACACTTGTATTTTGTCATATAGAAGAGCAGATGTGCTTCATCAACCCCATCAACATCCTGACTCTAAACAAAGGAGGGAGGCCCAAGTTTTTTCGTCTCTTGCTTTGAAAATACTTCCAATATAAGCAAAGACTGACTTTGTTTTAGATAACAATAACATTTCAGGCTGCCAGTATAAAACAAGATATAAGCCGGGCATGGTGGCTTGCACCTGTAGTTCCAGTTACTTGGGAGGCTGAGGTGGGAGGATAGCTTGAGCCTAGGAGTTCAAGATTGCAGTATGCTACAATTGTACCACTGCACTCCAGCCTGGGTGACAAAGTGAGACCCTGTCTCTCAAAAAAATAAAAGTAGAGCCAGGCGTAGTGGCTCACATTTGTAATCCCAGTTACTGAGGAGGCTGAGACAAAAGGGTCGCTTGAGCCAGAAGTTCAAGGCTGCAGTGAGCCATGACTGCACCACTGCACTCCAGCCTGGATGACAGTGCAAGACCCTGTATAAAAAAAAAAAAAGCCAGGTGTGGTGGCTTACACCTATAATCTCAGCACTTTGGGGGCTCAAGGTGAGAGGACTGCCTGAGCCCACGGGTTCAAGACCATCCTGTGTAACTTGGTGAGACCCCCATCTCTATAATAAATAAAAAAAAATTAGCCAGGCAGGGTGTCATGTGCTTATAGTTTGAGCTACTTGTAAGGCTGAGGCGGAAGGATCGCCTGAGCCCAGCAGATCGAGGATGCAGTGGCCGGGAGCATGTCACCGCCCTCCAGCCTGGATGACAGAGCGAGACTCCTACTCAAGAAAAATAGAGTGTGAGCAGTGAAGTGGATGTAAGGGCACTGAGGGTTTAAAATCGCCTTAGATTTCATGGTATGAGCCCACATGGAACATTAAGAATGAAGGTAACTGGACAAAGACCAGGAAGCTGCTAAAATTAAGAGTAATAGATAGGCCACACATATTCCACCAAACATGAGAACAGCAATTCCTGTTGCAAAGGGAAATTATGGATAAACCTTTCAGCCCTAGTCCCTGCTTCTGTCCAAAAGACTTTGTATGTACCTTTGCACTTGAAATAAATCCCCTTCTCTGCATCCCAGTGTCAGGATGATTCACCCACTTCTGCTCCTACCCATGCTCAAGTTTAATTCTCATGACTAAAGCAGTGCCACCAAGACCAGGTGTCTTCCACTCACACTGCCACTGGCCACTTGCAGCAGACCATGTCCCCCTAGCCACAGCTGCTCTGCTAAGGTGAGGCTCCTTGGGAGATTGACTGAATTAATTATGACAAGACAGAAATGATCAATATACTAGAAACAGCAGAAAAATTTCTCCAAGAGAATGAAGACTTAATGACTGAATTAGTGTCTGACTGGAATTATCCATAAGGATTAAGACTATTCTGTTTCTTAACATCTGCTCTATTAATAATATTAAAGAGGGCAACCCTTTCAGGTCCTCTTCCACTGTGGGAGCTTTTCTGTCCTCTCAATAAATCCTGTTTTCTCAACAACAACAAAATAATAATGTTAAAGAAATGTTGGAAATAGTCACTCTTCCAATTGATCACTGAGAGTAACAGACTGGTGGGAAGGAAAAATGAATGTCTTTATTCAGTGTTAGGGTCAGTATTTTTATAGATGGGAGGAAGGCTAGCAAGTATTTGGTAGGCCCCAGAGAACTCTGAGTCTTATCATGCTGCATTAAGGTGAACACTAGTATTGAGAAACTGTGGGGACTCCTGTTAGGAACCGTAACCAGCTATCTCCAAACATGCATTTCTTTTGAGGAACATCAACCAGTACCAAATATTTTATGACTTAACATGTTCAGTGCCTTAAGCAAAGACATCAGAAAGCATACTGACTGGATGAATTTACACACAACTGAAAACAGCCTGGACAGGTGGCGAGACAGTGCAGGTGGGAAAACAAGATATTGGTGTGCAACAGATAGAAAGCTATCCAAGGCTTTATTTCCCGCTGCAGCAGGAACACCATAAGGCCAGATAAAAGCGTTCCCTTATTCTAAGCATTCTCATGAATTGCTAGTAGGAAATGCAAACGAAAGCCCTTTTGCACAGTAACATGGTAACATTTTAAAATAACCTTAGTTTTTTTTTTTTAAGTCAGAGTCTCACTGTTGTCCAGGCTGGAGTGCAGTGGCATGCTCACAGCCATTGCAGCCTCAACCTGCTGGGCTCAGGCGATCCTTCTGCCTCAGCCTTCCAAGTAGCTGGAACTACAGACATGTGTCACTATGCCCAGCTAATTTTTAAAAAATTCACTGTAGAGAAGAGGTCTCGCCAAGTTGCCCAAGCTCATCTCAAACCCGTGGGCTCAGGCAATCCTCTCACCTTGGGCTCCCAAAGTGCTGGAATTATAGGCGTGACCCAACATGCCCAGTAGAACCTTAGATGTTTAAACTTAAACAGAATCTTAGAAAAGTTCATATTCACTAGTCACATTTTCAGAAATGTAGTAAGAAAATATTCTCCAATGGAAATAACCCAAATATTCAAGAGGGGATCTGATAATAGAAACAAATTACTCCATCTACTTGGTGGAATATTATGCAGGTATTTTCAAAAAATATTGTTTCCAATGGATAGTTAATATCATACTATGACTTTAATATTGTAAAAAAAAAAAAGCAACAGAAAAAAAGACGGAAAAGGAACATTCAAATGTAAATAGTGGTAATGCCTGGCAATAAAATTTTGAGTGACTTTTATTTGCTTTATTCTTTCCTATGGTTTCCCAAAATTTCTGCCATGAGTACATGTTTTTATAATCAGAAGACAATGTTTTTGTTTTTGTTTTTTTAAGGAAAAAACCCTTCACTATAATAGGCTTGTAAGGAGCATATGGTCACTTACCTCCTCATCTTCACAATGGGTTTCTGGCAGTTGAAATGTACACAACAGAACATATGTACCCCGGCTTGCTTGTTATAAAAATTTAAAAGATGACTTCTCATACACAATACAGTCTGAGTTCAGTATCACAAAACACATCACTAAAATATACTAAAATAAGGTTATTTACTTAAAAATGATACATTGGACATAATCTGTATATAGAACAAAGCAATTAATGGTAAACTTAATAAGGCACCTTTTAAACCAGATGCTGTACAAAATACATTTAGTGTGTTACATATCAAAGATGAATCTATCTTTTTGGTGTTTTACAACTGTATAATAAAACTGCTTGTTTTTACCCTTCTTTCAATGCCTATGTACAGTTTTCCCTAATTAAGCTATAATGATATTTTCATTTTATACAGTATATACTACATTTTAGTTTTTAAATGGGCAAGGACAAAGGTCACTAAAAGGGCTTAAATAATTTCATTGAAAGCAAAATACAGAGCACAGGCTAAAATTACAATAACATATTTAAATTCTTTGCAAAAGCCATATTCACATACTTTCCTTACCCCTGGCTTCATATGACACTGCCCTGAATGTAATTTGGTTCGTATGAACATGTCTTCTCTACAGTTTTCACTGTGACTCTCATAAAGCACTGAGGTAAGAAGACTGCTGCACTGAGGTCTTAAAATCTGACTTAAGTCAATAGTAAATATGACCACTTTTAGACATTATAAGGGCTACAACAATCTTTTCTTAACATCAACAACAAAAAAATCACTATTTCTGCTGTTGAAATTATTTTAGATATTTAGAAACATTTCGAAACTTATATGAAGTATGTTAATTTATCAAATCTGTCCTAGAATAAATTATTCAATATCAAATTATATCGAGTCAACTCAAAGACACGTGATTTGTTAAAAGCTATGGTGTATTTCTGTTCTAAACAGAACATGCATCTGCAAGAAAGCTTTTGTTAAAGTGAGTAAATAAAAATCTGGCACATTCTAGGAAAACATACTTTTCAAAAATAGATCACTTTCTAAGTTTAGAAACACTTCTGGACACTGGAAAAGCAAAAGAAAATATTGACTAAATATCTTTTGTGAAAGTATTTCTGGAGAAAGCAGATTCAAATTTTATGCTTTTATACTTATTGTTCAATAAGAAAGCAGAATAAAAGCTTAGAATAAATGAATTGAAGTAAATCCTAATGCGTCTTTAATCCTAGAAATATTTACTAGCAATAAAGAGAATTCCTAAAAATAATTCTCTTTGAAGGTTAACTTTTGCTGTTTATATTAAGGTTGTGTGGTTTTTTGTTTGTTTTTATGTTTTAATTATTTAAAGGGATGACTGACTGAAGCCACACACTACACTGTAAGGGTAACAAATAATGGTTTCCAGGGTTTTAGCAAGTAGTTACTGTGGTACTGCAGAATACTTCCTCTTGCTGACCTGCAGTATTTACAAAATATTTTATTTACTGGATGAACTTGATTTTTTTTTTTAGATTGGAAAATATAGTTTATTTATAAAGTAACTAAGAGAAAGCGAGAGGTAGAGAGAGAGAAAGAGAGAGATTCACTTCCCCCAAGATAGGGAAGCGAGCCAAAGCTAAGAAACATGGTGGCAATAGCTCAGAGAGCCACGTGGAGTGGCAGTAGCTCAGAGAGCCACGCGGACACAACAGAGTTTAACAAAGCAATGGCCAAGCTTCAGACTTAAGAGTAAGAGTAAGAAGGAAGAAAAGAAAACAATAAGTTTCATATAACTTTTTAAGAATTTAATATTCTAAATATGGCAACATTTGCTTTTTGAAGAACGTTAAACTAGAAAATATTTTTACTGAACAAATTTCTAAGGTTAAATTTTGATACTACTTTTACTAGACCAAATTACTTAAAAAGATAGTGATCTCAAATACTATCTGTAATGTTTCACTTCCATATACCATTTGAATATTTCTAAAATAAAGTTTACTTGTACTTATATATTTTATCATGAAGATGACAAATGATTTTCAAGATTTATGGTTTACCAAGTCAAAATAAATCAAAATTATCTTTAAGTAAATCAGAAGTCGTAAGTGCTATAAAAGCACATGGCAATTTAGATTACAGTATCTATATTTCTCAGCATACAGAAAAAATTCTAAAAAAGTTATTGGTATTATCCATATGATAGACATAACTTATTAAACTTAATTAAAACACTTAAGGTAAGTTTCAAATTTGTGAAATTTGATGTGTAGACAAATACGTAAGTTTTAGCCTTCAGGAACGGTCAAATTTTTGGTTATGGATGGAAACATGCTAATTTCTCCATTTAACTTAAACTTTTTTTCCTACTGTGCTGTGATATAATCACTTTGATTTTATATTATAATCAAAGAAAATTGCCTCACTGGTACTCAGGAGTTGTTTACTCATAATAGGAGATTAATATTTAAAAGGCATTACAGAAGTATAAAAAGTTTAAGTAAATCAGAATTATTTCTCGAGATAACAATGCATCTCTAAAATATGTACCTTTTTACTGAGTAACAGTTACACAGCATAGACACAGATACTTACAGATACTGAATGTTTCTGCCTGACTCTTCATTGTCTTTACAAGTTATAGAACAGAAATCAGAAAGCCAAAAATCTCAAATGATTTAGATGTCTAAAACATTTAACAATTGATACATTTATATCAGCTGACATAAATTTATAATCAGAGAAGAATCCTCTTATGAAAAAATTGAGATGATATTATCTTAGTGAAGTTTTTGGCTGAAGTTAACAAAGTCCTGGATTTGATATATTACTTTGAATGCATTAATTCTGAAAACCCATATTCATTTATAACATTTCTTCCCTTAAGGATGGGATATGAGGTACACATGAGCTGGTTTCTACAGTATGAGTGTATGTACATATATAAAACATGATTGTAAAGGAGTGGGTATTTTGCAAATAAAGCACATTATACACAAAATATAAATAACTTCCCTTTTAAAAGTTACTGAGAACAAAAAATACAGAATATGGTTATAGGCACTTACATTGCTATCAAATGCAGTAATTCACTTTCATAAGAAGTGTTTTCTTTATAAGCATGGTTCATGGCATTGGAAGCTCCAACTTTAGATAGGATACTTTCCATGACAAAAATAGTTACTACAAAAAAAAAGATGGTGATGGAAGGAAAACAGTCCAAATTTATAGATACTTTAAACTTATTTGGCCTTTGTATCAACTTTTATGCTAAAAAAATAAAGCTGGTGGGGAAGTTATCTCACTTTCAAGGTAAATGGCTTTTATGAGATTGGCGAATCTTGGTCAGATATTGCATTTTTAAAGCACAAAACCAATGGCCACCAGTATCTTCCTGTGCATTCATAAATTACTTCTTTCTAATTCAAATGGCAGCAGAGGAATCCTGGTGTGCACACACACACACACACACACACACACATCATTATCAAGGAAGGCATGACAAGCTATCATAAGCTAAGTAGTATCCCGAACAGATCATAACCTATAGGCTGTTTTACAAAGGTAGAATACAAACAGATTAAATGTTCTCAGGTAGAAGGCAAAAAGTGTATATTTCTCCATCTCTGCTGAACTCATTTATCTTCTTAAGGCTTTCACAGAAAGCACCATTTTATGAACAGGCAATTCAGTACCCAGAGTTTGACTGGAGACTTATTAACCAGGATCGAAGTCTTGTTGGAGTTCATAAAAACCCAATAAAAAAAAAGGCATCAAAAACTACATTTAAAATAAAGTTGTCCATATATAAAGAATGATGTGTTTAGAAGTTCCCAATCTGTATTCTAATAAGAGTACTGAAAGGTTTAATATTAGCAGCCTGTGAACGTGTAGTGAGGAAAGAGTCTGAGAATTAAGTTAACATCCTTTTCCACTCTAATTCCACCCATTCCTTGGGTAAGAACATTTCTTGAAGTCTTAAGTTTCTCCTCACGGCTGTTTGTCAGATCTTTACATCTTGGGACTCAACCATCTTGGCAAGAGTCTTCTTGATTCTCAGTGCTGTAAGTCTAGAGGCTGGATTGTGGGCCCAGCACTCCGACATTAGCTTCAAAACTGCTCGTAGACACTGGAAAGCAAAGAGAATGTAGTGAACATGTTGCTTTGGTGATCATTTACCAATGTCTTCTTTAGAGGACTGAGCTCTACTCACTTCATCACTGTTCCATCGGTTAGACACAATTGGCCGCAAACGTTTGACACACACAACTTCACGCATATCTTCATATGATGGATCACTGGGTACCATGTTGTAATATGGCAATTGGTACTCTTCTACAATCCCTGCAGCGAGTTAGAAAACATAATGAGCACAAAAATGGTGGCCAGACAAAATTCACTCATCTATTCAGCATTTCCTACTGAACTATGGAACTAAAATTGATTCCTACATAAAGAAGAAAAAAATATAAAACTTTTAATAGTAAACATATGTTTTGCTCTTATTTAAATCTTATTTCCTCTATCTCCACGAGGGATTCCATCACAACTATCAGAAAGTCCATCACAAAGGGCATACCAATATTACCTCCTCCTCGAAAAAAGCAAGGTGAAATCATTCACCCTAAACTTTTAATCTAGCTATTTACTTAGATGTTCCTACTAATACATACAGTTTTTATTTTATTCTGCAGCAGAAAGACTTACCATGATGTGCAAGTGTTCACACAACAGGCCTGAGACTGCTCTCCTTAGAAAGGCCTGCTTGCGAGGTTGGCCCTTGGCCAGTGTCTAGGAACCTGAATGGTAAACAGTTCTCTACATGGATACAAAACTTTCCCAAAATGATAAGGGTGGCTCACTGTTCCTAGACTGTTTGTGAAAACAACATGGTGCAAACAGAACATTTGTTTTCCCTCTGGGAGATTGAAATTTTGGTACAGGCCAGGCAGAGGATGCTTATGTAATCAACCTCCAATATAACTCTTTGGGTGCTGAGTCTCCAATGAGCATACCTGGAAGACAACACTTCACATGTGTTGTCACAACTCATGGGAAAAATCAAGCACTCCCCATGTGACACCACTGGAAAAGGACTGCTAGCAGCTTCGTCTGGTTTTCTCTGAACTTTGCTCCAGACATCTTCCTCCTTTGTTGATTTTGATTTGTTTTTTATCCTTTCATTGTAGTAAACGAGGATAACCTAAGCTGAGTCTTTGGTCCTTCAAGTGAAATCGCAGACTTGCTAGGCATGGTGGCTCACACCTGTAATCCCAGAACTTTGGGAAGCTGAGGCAAGAGGATTGCCTGAGTCCAGGGGATTGAGATCAGCCTGAGCAACTTGGCGAGAACTCATCTCTACAATAAATCAAAAAATTAGCCGGTATGGTGGCACACATCTTGCTTCCAGCTACTTGGAAGGCTGAGGTAGAAGGATCATCTAAGCCCAGCAGATTGAGACTGTGGTGGTTATGAGCATGTCACTGCACTCCAGCCTGTGCAACAGAGTGATTAAAAAAAAAAACCAAAAAAACAGAATCTGGGAGTAGTCCTGGGGAACTCTGACATATGTAACAACTAAATTATGTAACCGGAGCTGATAGGTAAACAAATGTAATCAGAAACACACTACTGAAACTCCTACCTCCTGTAATACAACGGCGAGCCATTTCCCAAATGATCAGGCCAAAGCTATAGATGTCAGCCATGATGTAGGGCTGGAAGTGGTTTTTATTCAGGCTTTCATCTAGCACTTCTGGAGCCATGTAGCGTTTGGTGCCCACCCTGGTATTCAAGGGTACATCAACTTCATTTGTATCACTGAAACAGAAGAAAGGCAATGCTTAGGTTGACAGCCAAGAACAAAATATTTTATCTTGTATTTTGTAACATTTTACAAAAGCTTCTCTCTCTCTCTCTCTCTCTCTCTCTCTGCTAGAAGCCAGATGTATTGTAAGGCCACGTATCTACAATAATAAATTTTTAAAAAAAGGAAAGGAAAAAGCCGTAGATGATCATGTCTGAGAAGAAGCGAATGTGAAAATAAAAGAGAAATCATTTGCCTTTACTGCTTATATGATAAGCTCAGTCTTTGTGACGTAGGATTACATTTTCTTCTTTTTGGTTCAATCAGCTTAGTTTCGTTGTTAGTAATGTCTGCTCGATCATATTGACAGTCTGTAATATATACCCTCAAGCAGAAATCAACATAATGCATTGTATTTTCTTATATCTTATCTGATAAATATTTGAGCCAACAATTACACTGACTTTGAACACTATAACAACCGAGGAAGAAGATTTAAATGCTTTATAGTTATTTTAAAGACTATTACTTTTGGCTGGGCTTGGTGGCTCAGCCTGTAATCCCAGCACTTTGGGAGGCTGCGGCAAATGAATTGCCAGAGCCCGCGGGTACGAGATGAGCCCGGGCAACTTGGCAAGATCTCGTCTTTACAATAAATCAAAAATTAGGTGGGCATGGTAGTACACGCCTGTAGTTCCAGCTACTTGGAAGGCTGAGGTGGAAGGACTGCCAGCGCTCAACAGGTCAACACTGGGGTAGCCATGAGTGTGCCAATGCACTCTAGCCTGGGCAACTCTTGACTCAAAAAAAAAAAGAAAAAAAGACTAGTACTTTTATTTTATGGCCTGAAAAGATTTCTAAAATGTGAAATGGCTGCTGTATTCTAGAATATTAAAATGGGATCAATAGTTCATGAAAAATTTTGTAATTCTAATTATTTAAAAATATTGACAATATCAAGTGGTAAAATAGAGAAATTACACACTTATCTCCCGCTTACAAGACTGTGAACTGATACACGCATTCTGGAGTGATATAGACAATATACTATAACTTAATATGTACAAATGCTTTGTCTTAATAGCCCCTTTCCTAGGAATCCGTCATGAAGAAATACTTGTATATGTGCACAAGGATCTACTATACATGGATAAAATACAACTGTTCATTAAAACATTTTAAAATAAACCGGAAGCAATCTTAATGTTCGTTAGTTGGGTCACAAAATAAATTATAGTATATCTAACTTACGAAAAACTTCGCATCTGTTAAAAAGAGTGAGGCAGCTGGGCTCAGTGGCTCAGCCTGTAATCCCGCACCTTTGGGAGACTGAGGTGAGTGGATTGCCTGAGCCCGCGGGTTCGAGACCTGCCTGGGCAGCGAGACCTCATCTCTACACTAAATCAAAAAATCAGCCGGGCGTGGTAGCGCATGCCTGTAATCCCGGCTACTTGGAAGGCTGAGGCGGGAGGATCACCGGAGCCCAGCAGGTCGAGGCTGCGGTGGCCGGGAGCAGCCACTGCACTCCAGTCTGGGCGACACAGTGAGACTCCAACTCAAAAAAAAAGAGTGAGGCAGATCTACATAAACTGAAATGGAAGGATATTTAAGATTACATATAAGAAGGAAACCAAGAATTATGTATAGTAGGATGTAATTTTTGTAAAGAGGAAAAAAACCCCAACTATATATATGCATGACTATATAATGAACACGTGCAAGTTTTTAGAATTCCATTATCTTAAATACAAATAGGCAAATATCTTTTGGAGATGAAAATAATTTCATAACAGTGGGCAAGGAACTACTTACCTGTTGAACTTAACAGCAAGGCCCAGATCAGCAATACAGCAACTTCCATTTTTCTTGATGAGGATGTTTTTGCTCTTTAAGTCTCGATGAGCAATTGCAGGTTTTCCTTGGGTGCCATAAATTTCTGTGTGCAGGTGGCACAGACCACAGGCAGCTGAATAAGCTAACTTGAGCAGGGCTCTGTTGTCTAGTGTAGCACATTTCAGGAAATCATAGAGAGATCCGTTTTCATGGTAATCGGTAATCAAATAGAGCTGAGTCCAGGAACCTGTACCTTTAATGTCTGCTGCTATAAAACCTGCCCAAATAATGAGTTTAAAAGGTTAGTTATCATCAGAGATGACTAGGAAAAGTAATCACTGCTCATTCAGGATATTAAGAAAGCTCAGATATCCTATACAGATAATAAAAATTTAATTTTCCTGACATAATCTCTTGAATATGCCATCAAAAACTTTATTTCTATCCCTTGTACATATAACGACAGTCCTGTAATAAATTTACAATAATCTCAATAATAATGAACATATTATATGACTAAGAAAAAGGTCACATATTATACAAATAACCTAGAGAATATCATTAATCTATGCGATTCTTTGAAAGGCTCTCAATTTCAAAGAAAAAGTGGACCCTTTAAAAGTTAAAAATGTTCAACCTAGAGTTAGCTCTCAATTGAGCCAACCTTCATCTGCTTGTCATTGACTCATCATCACACCTGCCCTTTTTAGTCTAGCTTGTTGACTGCCAGGCCTACAATATTGCTCTCTTTTTCTTCTCCTTTCACTTCTCCTCTCTCCCTTCAGAAAAAGGACAGTGAGTGTTATACTGAGTTGAATAGTGCCCCTGCCAAAAAATTTTTATCTACCTGGAATCTGTAAATGTGAACTTATTTGGAAAAAGAGTCTTTGCAGATGCAATCAAGATAAGTTCATACAGGATTAGAATGGGTCCTAATTCAATGGTCCTTATCCTTATACAATAGCAATGTCAACACACCCACAGAGTAGAGGGCCATGTCATGACAGAAACAGAAATTGGCATGTTGTATATAAGTCAAGGAACACCAAAGACTGTTGGCAATCACTAGAAGCCAGGAGGGGCAAGGAAGGTTCCTCCCCCAGAGTTTTCAGGGACAGCATGACCCACCAAAAACTTGGTTTTAAACCTCTAGATTCCCAAACTGTGAGACTATATTTCTGTTGTTTTAAGGCACCCAATTCATGCTAATTTGTTATGGCAGCCATATGAAACTAATACAAGTGCCTATTACATGTGTGGCAATGTGCTATGCATTCTCCAAATCAAAGGTAGAAAAATAGGTGCTAAAAAAAAAAAAACCTCAAGACAGCTTTCACTTAAGCACCCACTGATCAGATTATACCTAAATTATTTTGGTATTGTATAAAAGTGAGGGGAAGAGAAACACATACTAAGCACAGAATACACGATGAAGCTGCATGTTGGGTTGCTGAGTTTACAAAAGGTGAATATAGTTAATGATACCTTAGAAAACTGCTTAAATTATCTATAAAAGACTTCGCTTTCATTACTCTAGGAATAAGTTCACTAAATTAATGATTACTTTCCATTTGAAACTCACTGCAGTTTCTTCAGTTGGTTGATAAAGTGGCTAGTTGATACTCAGGACTGTGTTGGTACTTAAACTGTGTATTCTACTGGATGCCCTTGAGTCAAATGCATATAGTTGAACTTGCACATTTTCAAAGCCCATATGGAAACTTCCACCTGCATCCCACTAACCTTGTGTCAGATATGGAATCAACCGAATCAACATGTACCTACCAAGTATGTTTTCATGGCGCATTAGCACAGTTTGGTAGATTTCTGTCTCTCGAAACCAGCTAGCTTCTTCAGTGGTGAAGAACACTTTGACTGCCACTTTTTCACCACGCCATTTACCCATCCACACTTCTCCGTATCGGCCTTTACCAACCTGCCGAACCATCTGAATCTGTTTGGCAATAGTTCGCTGAACCTTTATAGAAAAAGTAAAAGGTCTGAGTTCTTCATGAAAAAAACCTATTGAGACTGATGAAGGACCCATTGCATCAAAAAGCATAGTATATCCAAATAACCAACTCTAACATTAAAAGTTAGAATGTGGCCAGGCTCGATGGCTCAGCCTGTAATCCCAGCACTTTAGGAGGCTGAGGCGAGTGGCGAGACCTCATCTCTACAATAAATCACAAACTAGCCTGGCATGGTAGTGCACATGTAATTCCGGCTACTTGGAAGGCTGAGGCAGAAGAATCACTGGAGCCCAGCAGGTTGTGGCTGCAGTGGCCAGGAGCGTGCCACTGCACTCCAGTCTGGGCGACAGAGTGAGACTCCAACTCACGAAAAACACTTAGAATGTGCCCAAACTTTACCTGTATGATGACCACTCGTATACCCAATCCTGAATGATGCCCATATCTTTAAAAAAAAAAAAAAGAATGCATGTGACATTGGCCATAATAATCCTCCTCCCAATACACACAACATGGGTAGTCTTCTCCCCTGCAGACTCAGGGCTTTGGTCACATGACTTGCCTTGGGCAACAGAACAATACAGACTGTGACGCAAGCTGGGCACAGTGGCTCACACCTGTAATTACAGCATTTTGGAAGGCTGAGGTGAGAGGACTGCTTAAGCCCAGAAGTTCGAGACAAGCTTAGGCAACATAGCAGGATCTCATCTCTGCAAACAAAACAAAACAACCCCCCCCCAAATTTAGTCAGGTGTGGTGGCACGGCTCTGTAGTCCTAGCTGCTTGGGAGGCTGTGGCAGAAGGATCACTTGAGTCCAGAAGGTTGAAGTCAAGGCTGCAGTGAACCATGCTTGTGCCATTGGGCAACAGAGTGAGACCCCAACCCCACCCCCTGCTCAAAAGAGAGAGTGTGATGCAAGCAAAAACCTGACAAATGTTTCTGCACAGAGGCTTGCCCTCTCTTGCTGTTCAGGGAACCCTGTGACCAATGGACAGCATTGTGTCAACTGCTAGCCAGGTATGTGAATTATACCACACAGCTCTAGTTGAGCAAGTCTAGAAAAAGAACTGCCCAGCAGACACACAGAATCATGAGAAAGAATAAATGTTTGTTGCTTTGAGGCCTTAAGTTTTGGGGTGGTTTATTATGCAGTAAACCGAAATGGTTGTAAAGAATCTTTAACTTAGTCTGTAAAACGCTACATGGTTTGGCCCAGCCCAATCATTGGTTATGAACACCATCCGCATGCCTCCTGCTAGCCTTGTTTCATTATTCAGAACTCAAGTTTATTCCTATCTCAGGGTCTCTTTGCATGTCCATTTCCCTTTAATTAAAGTGCTGTTTCTTGCTTAACTATCTTCATAATATACACATACTTCTCAGTTCCTGCAGTTATTACAATTCATGTTATATGTATATTCGCTTGAATTCTATCCGCTGCTAACAGAATATGGGTGTTTATTTGGGACAATGCCTGAAGTACAGTAAGTACTTTAATATTTGTTAAACAAAAAATATACACTCATCATCACCTTTCATATTCCGAAGCATTAGTGATCTTTCTAAAAAAAAATGCCGAACTCAGTGGCTCAGCCTGTAATCCTGCGCCTTTGGGAGGCTGAGGTGAGTGGATTGCCTGAGCCCGCGGATTCGAGACCCGCCTGGGCAGGCGAAACCTCATCTCTACAATAAATCAAAAAATCAGCCAGGCGTGGCAGCACATGCCTATAATTCTGGCTACTTGGAAGGCTGAGGCGGAAGGATCGCTGGAGCCCAGCAGGTCGAGGCTGCGGTAGCTGGGAGCGGCCACTGCACTCCAGACTGGATGACAGAGTGAGACTCCAACTCAAAAACAAACAAACAAACAAAAAACCCAACTATTTTCCAAGTTAGAAATGCATCTAAAATGGGCTAGATTTTATGCAAACTGACAAATTTTATGTATCATTTACTATAGAATTCTTTTATAAAATTTTTTAAAAGCCAGGATTATGAGATGTAATTTACATACAATAACATTTGCTCTTTTTGAAAACTGTGCAGTAAGTTTTGATAAATTTGTATCATGTAGTCACCAATACCACATTATGACAGAAAATTCTCATCACTCCAAAAAATTCCACTTTTTTAGGTTAATCCCCTCTCCCTGTCCCTGGCATCACTGATCTGTTTTCTGTCTTGACAGTTTTACCTTTCCTGGAATCATATACATGGAAACATACAATATGTACCTGTGTATGGCTTCTTTCACTTAGCATAAAATGCTTTTGAAATTCATACATGCTGCTGTTTCATGTATTAGCAGTTTGGTCCATTTCACTGATGAGTAGTATTCCACTGTATGAATGTACCACAATTTGTTTATTCATTTACCAATTAATGGACATTTGGGTTGTTTCCAAATTTATGTCTATTATGAGTAAATCTGCTATAAACATTCACATTCACATCTCTCTGTGAACAAGTTTTCACATCTTCAGGGTAAATTATTAGCAGAAGGATTGCCTCACTGTACTTTCTGTGTACACTTAAGTTTCTAGTCAGTAATTAAACTGTTTTTCAAATTAGCTGTAGCATTTTGCATTCCAATCAGCAATGTATGAGATTTCCAAATGATCTATATCCTTGTCAACACTTGCCATTGTCACTTTTAGTCATACTAGTGGATGTGTAGTAGTAGCTCACTGTGTTTAATTTGCATATCCCTGACGATATTTATTTGCCACTCTTACATCTTCTTTGGGAAATCATCTGTTCAAATCTTTTGTGCATTTTTAAAAAATTGGTTATCTTATTACTGAATTGTAAACAGTCTTTATATATTCTGCATACAAACCCTATATCAGATCTGTTTTCCCAGTCTATGACTTGTCTCTTCATTTTCTTAAGAGTGTCACCTGAATAACAAAAGTTTTAAATATTGACAAAGCTCAATTTATCCTTTTAAAAACGATTCATGCTTCATGTGTACTGAGAAGTCTTTACTCAAAACAAGGTCACGATAATTTTTTCCTACATTTTCTTTAAGAGATTGTATACATTAACTTTTACATTTAAGCCTATGAGTCATTTCAAGTTAATTTTCTATATACAGTGGACGTTTGAGATTCACTTTTTGGCAAACTGATGGCTGATTTTCCCTATAATCTGTGGAATAGACAGTCTTTTCATCATTGAATTACTTTGGCACCTTCATAAAAAACAAAAAATCTGGCCGGGTTTGGTGGCTCAGCCTGTAATCCCAGCAACTTTGGGAGGCCGAGGTGAGTGGATTGCCCGAGCCCGCGGGTTCGAGACCTGCCTGGGTAACTTGACGAGACCTCATCTCTACGGTAAATCAAAAAATTAGCTGGGCGTGGTAGCACGCGCCTGTAGTTCCAGCTACTTGGAAGGCTGAGGTGGAAGGATCGCTGGAGCCCAGCAGATCGAGGCTGCGGTGGCCAGAAGCGGCCACTGCACTCCAGTCTGGGCAACAGAGTGAGACTCCAACTCAAAAAAAAAAAAAAAAAAAAAAAACCCCAAAAAATCCAATTAGCTGTATATGTGCATGACCCTTCTAGACAATATATTCTGTTCCATTGGTCAATATGTCTATACTTATGCCAGTACCATAATGTAATAATTATTGCAGCTTTAAAGTAAGTCCAGAAATCAGGTAATGAGTTTTATTTATTCTTCTATTTCAAAACTGTTTTAGCTCTTCTAGTCTTTTGCATTCCCCTATGTTAGAATAAGATTATCAATCTCCATAAAAATTTGCTTTGATTTTGATTGAAATGAAATTGCATATCAATTTGAGAAAAGCTGAAATCTTAATGCCGAGTCTGCGGATTCATAAACATCTCCACTTATTTAGGTCTTCGTTAATTTATTTTAGAAATACTTATAATTTTCAATGTGTAGGCTCTGCATAAATTTTGTTATGCTTATTTCTAAATATTTCATTTTTTGATATTAAATTATGCTGTTTTTAAAATTTCAATTTCCAATTGTTTGTTGCTAGTGTATATAAACTCAACAATATTTGTATAATGACCTTATATTCTGCAGACTGATAAACTCATTTATTGGTTGTAGTAGTTTTACTGTGCCATTCTTGAGATTTTCTTTTTCTTTTTTTTTTTGAGTTGGAGTATCACTCTGTCCCCCAGGCTGGAGGGCAGTGGCATGCTCAAGGCCACCTCAGCCTGGAACTGTTGGGTTCAGACGATCCTTCCTCCTCAGCCTTCTATGTAGCTGGAACTACAGGTATGCACCACCAAGTCTGGCTAATTTTTCTTGATTTCTTGTTGAGATGAGAACTCGCCAAGTTGCCCAGGCTGGTCTCAAACCCTGGACTCAGGCAATTCTTTCGCTTCGGCCTCCCAAAGTACTTGGGATTATAGGTGTGAGCCAACATGCTCAGTCAAGATTTTCTACGTAAACAATCATGTTGTAGACATATAAAGACAGTTTTACTTTTACCTTTCCAATTCAAGGTATTCTCTCTATGAAGATCTGTAAGAGAAACTTCTCTTTGATTTTGGAATCAAATAGTTTAACTTCCCTCAATCAGCGTAACTTCTTAGATGCAAGGAATCTTATACCTGGTTCCCTCTTTAAGTTGACTATTAAAATGCTTAGAGCAAAACTTGTGAGCTAACTCTGCTGGAGGGCAGTGGCATGTTCCTGGCCACCGCAGTCTTGACCCGCTGGGGTTAGGCGATCCTTCTGCCTCAGTCTTCTAAGTTGCCAGGACTACAGGCACACGTCACCACACCCGGTTATTTTTAAAAATTTATTTATTGTAGAGATGGGGTCACACCAAGTTGCCCAGGCTGGTCTTGAACCCGTGGGCTCAGGTAATCCCCTCACCTCAGCCTCCCAAAGTGCTGGGATTATAGGCATGCGCCACCACGCCCAGCTGTGAGCTAACTCTTAACATTTACATGTAGCAGTTCTTTCCTAACCTTATTATGGCTCTTACTTGTTTACTCTGTTCTTAGATCACAGTTCTTATAGTTCTTATTTTGAATTAATTTCATCTTGCACTATTGCATGTATCTTTCTAAATAAGGAAGAAAAAAATGTGTCTAGTAATGTCTAGTATTATTCCCTAATCTGCAGCAATTATGCTATCAGCCATCATGTTGACATTCTTATCAACACATCCTTCATGTTTAAGTGAAATTTTAAACTTACCAATAAAGGTAGACCAGATCCACTACCAGAACTTTGTGACTGATCAATAAGGTCTTTTAATGACTCTCCAACTGGAATAAATGCTTCATCCTGTTCCAAATCACGATTATAACGACGTCTGCTTGAGATGCTCTTGCAATAATGTCTTTTAAAAAAGGGGAAAAGTCTGTATTAAAATTCTGAACTATAAAACTGTAAGCCAAGAAAAACTTTGAGGTTCTCTATTCCTTCATCCTTTCTTCAGACAGAATCATATCCAAATTAGTCTTATCATGGGATTATACTATCTATCAAAATACATCTAGAAATGGAGTTAACAGAGTTCTATAAATCACGCTAAAATAGAAAAACGTATTTATATGTATTTATATATGTCAGAAAAGATCAGGAAGGACATATAGCATAATAGTCACTTTGTACTTCACATATATTCTCATTAGAATTGATAACTATGTATTTTTGTATTAAAAAAAAAAAGTATTTCCAGGCTGGCGTGGTAGCTCACGCCTGTAATTCCAGCACTTTGGGAGGCTGAGGTGAAAGGATTGCCAGAGCCCATGGGTTTGAGACCAGCCAGGGCAACTTAGCAAGACCTTGTCTCTATAATAAATAAAAAAATTAGTCAGGCATGGTGGTGCACGCCTGTAGCTCCAGCTACTTGGAAGCCTGAGGTGAAAGGATCATCTGAGCCCAGCAGGTTAAGGCTATGGTAGCTGTGAGTATGCCACTGCACTCTAGCCTGGGTGACAGAGTGAGACGCCAATAAAAAAAAAAAAAAATTGTGTCCAATTATTAATTAGTAAGGTCCTCTTTTCCCTTAAGAGAACTAAATCTAGTTTAAAAAAAAAAAGATATATAACCAGAGAATATAAGTTCATGGTTTCTGCAATTGGCTTTAAAAGCAACTGATTTATCTAATATTCAGCAATATATATTGCATCAAAATAAGTATCTTACTTGTAACAAAAGCAGCTGGAGAAGATGATCATAGCAATTATGCAGACAGCCATAGAAATGAGCAATACCAGCCATCGAATGCTGCCGTCAAAAAACGGACCTGACAATAAAAGTAAACAATGAAATGAATATATAATCTATCATATCTTATTCAAAAAATTTGTAATGTTAAATTCTACATAGTTTGCTTATTGTTAAAAATAAGAGAAAATAGTTTACTGAGAATCATGCTCAGAATATCCTTGGTGCTAACCTACCTATAACAACAGGGGGCAGCGTAGGTTGTAGATACTGGTTACATAAATTGGTCCGACAACATTCTATTGTCCGGCGAAGCTGGGCTTTTGGTGAATCCTAGAAGAGAAATAGTAAAATTAGAAAAGGTTTGGTATATTAAATCAATAATAATTTTTTTGTATTCATAAAATACGATTTCTAATTCAGTGAGTGAAAAGGACCTGTAAATTCTATGTAAAAAAGTCTACTGAAAAATTAAAATTGTGCTAAAACAGTGTTGTGAAGACTGTAAACTGTTTCTTCTTAAGGAGAACATAGCTATGTGAATGGTGTTTTAGAATACTAGACTATAACTTATTTAACTACAGATAAAAATTTGTAAGTGTCTTTTACCCAAATTTATCTTAATAAATTACTGTTTATCTTAATAAAATATTGTTCAGATGTTTTTTAAAAACATAATTACTCTAAAGTCATGAGTTCCTCAAAAACATGAGTAATACATTTTATTACAAGCAAAAACTATCCTGGTAAATATAATCTCACATAGGTATTGAGATTTGGATAAGACTTAAGATCAGACTAAAAAGTGGGGAGTATTCTAATCCAAAGAAAAGGTTAGAGAGGTGGTTAAGCAAGTAGAGAACACTGTAGATTCTGTATACACCAACTGTGTTGGAATTAATGAGTTTATTAGAGGCCACTAACCAGGGAGGAGATGTGTCACTGAGAGATCAGAGAACAAGCACAGAGAAAGACTGTAATCACAGGAACAGATACCAACAATTATGTGGGACGTTTTATCTGATTAACAGTACAACATCTGACAAGTTGAATGCTGATATTTCAGCACTGCCTGGGAGAATTGCCATTCTGGATCAAAATGGTAATAGCAAGAAACTTTTTTTGCCATTATAAGAGTAGCAAGAATATAACCCATGTTATTTATTTATTTATTTTTTTGAGTTGGAGTCTCACTCTGCTGCCCAGGTTGGAGTGCAGTGGCATACTCATAGCCACTGGAGCCTCAACCTTCTGAGCTCAGGCGGTCCTCCAGCTCAGCCTTCCAAGTAGCTGGAACTACAGGCATGCTCCATCACAACTGGCTAATTTTTAAATTTATTGTAGAGACAAGGTCTCGCCAAGTTGCCCAGGCTGGTCTTACCCATGTTATTCAGAAGGCCAGAAAGGAAAAGATTTGGGGTAACCAGATATTAAGATGAACATGAATCCATGATTTAAGATGCTGTCACAGAAGATGGACAAGAGCATTTGGAAATCTCTAAATGTACAAGTTTTACTTTTTTTTTTGAGTTGGAGTCTCACTTCATCGCCCAGGCTGGGGTACAGTGGCACGCTCATGACCACCCCAGTGTTGACTTGCTGGGTTCCAGCGATCCTTCCACCTCAGCTTTCCAAGGAGCTGAAACTACAGGCACGCGCTACCACATCTGGCTCAGTTTTTGATTTATTGTAGCGACGAGGTCTCACCAAGTTACCCGGGCTGGTCTTGAACCCACGGGCTCAGGCAATCCACTTGCCTCAGCCTCCCAAAGTACTGGGATTACAGGGTGAGCCACTGAGCCCAGCCAAGTTTTACATTTTAACTAAATTTTAAACTTTTTAGTTTAATGATTTTTACTTTTAAGTGATCATAAAAAGAAAAAAAAGAGTTTATACTGGAGACTCTGAAATACTCCCAGGTCTAAAGAAAACTTACATGAAGGATAGAATGAAGAACACATAACCAAAGATGAATCAAAGAAGTGCCAAGCATCCAAGAATGGTTCCACAAGGCTAAAATGAGCATACCCTTGTAGAAGCGAGAAAGTGCAAAGAAAAATTAAGAAAAGTTTCTTGGCAGTGTGAGGAGAATGACCACCAAGCAATGGATGAATTGCTGACACAGGACTGGGCAACGGAGGATAAAAACGTACAACTCCTCAACTCCATTTTGTTTCTATCTTCTCTATGAAGAATCATTATAGAAATGAAGAAGATGATTTTACAATGTTTTTGTAATCTATGTAAGTTCTGTCTTCTAACCTAGATTAATTATATATCTCAGGAAAATGACAGCACCTATAAGTGAAATACCTGAAAGAAAGATGTGTCTGAAAGATTTTAGAAACAAAGAGTATTGGGGACTAGACAGTTGCATGGCACATTATTTTTCTTTAAGCCGAGCATGGTGGCATGTGCCTATACTCCCAGCCTACTCAAGAGGCCGAGGCAAGAGAATTGCTTGAGGCCAGGAGTTCAAGGCCAGCCTGTGCAACATAGCAAGAAGCAATTTCTAAAAAAACAATTAAAAAAGCAAAAGTAGACTTTGCTATCAGATTGAAGACAACACTTCATTATGGGAAAAGTAAGGGCTTTGGGGTCAAATAGTTTAAAACCTTGCTTTGCCAGTTATACACTATGCGACTCTTAGCAACTAACTTCTCTCTGGGTTTTAGTTTCCTCTGGTGGAAAATAGGGGATAAAAAAATCTGCCTTACAGAGTACCCAGGAAGAAATGAGGTAGACTATACCAGATACCTAGTATACTAAACACAAACAGCAAATACTCAGTAAGTCAATTCTTCTGGTAAGCTTGACATGAATCCTGGGTGAGATTCTAGAATAAGCCAAAAGCTGATGAGCCCCTGAAGACCCAGTGTGGCTTCACTAAGAATAAGTAATATCAGATTCACCTTGCATCTTTCTTAAATAGATTAACTATATATCTGGGCAGGCAAAAGTCAGGTTTGTCTGGATCATGAATTTGGGTGACACAACCTCTCCTTCTCCTGCATTCTTCACCCCATCCTCCGCCCAAGTCAATTTGTATCTCCAGATTTATGTGGGAAATATAAATCCTTATGGGGGAAAAATTTACTTGGCATTTATAAAGAGATTCTGACTTCAATAAACTTATTTAGTGTGCTTAGGCTGAAAATGGTAAGGAAAAAACTGAAGCCAAATTACAGCAGTGAGAGTTCTAAAAAAAATAATTTATTCCACAGGAAAAAACAGAATAAGCTAGGTTTACCAATAGAGAATGGGGATTTGGAAGGAATTCGAGGCATGGTGATTAACACTTGCATATTTTGATCCACACCTGGCAATGTGTGACTATACTGAGTAAAGGTTTAAGATAAAACTAAAAGAGATGTTCTCAGGTTAGGAGCTAGGTAAATGGTAATGATGTTTCCTAAGACATGCAAAAAGTTAGATATTATTTATTTTTTTGAGTTGGAGTCTCATTCTTATTGCTCATGCTAGAGTACAGTGGCATGTTCACAGCCATCACAGCCTTGATCTCCGGGGCTCAAGCAATCCTTCCACCTCAGCCTTCCAAGTAGCTAGAACCACAGGCACATGCCACCACACCCGGCTAATTTTTTTGGATTTATTGGAGAAATGAGGTCTTGCCAAATTGCTCAGGCTGGTCTCAAAACCCTGGGTTCAGGCAATCCTCTCACCTCCACTTCCCAAAGTGCTGGGATTACAAGGATGAGCCACTGTGCCCAGTCTCTAAACAAATTCTTAAAAACAATGTATCCCTCACATACCTAGACTGATCCCTAAAAATTTTCAGCATAAATTTAAATAGCTGCAAAGAACACACACACACACACACACACACACACACACACACACACACACAAAGAGGATACAGGAAAGTATGCCCATTTTAAGAAGGAAAAAAACTGTATTAAAACTGTAATACTCAATAAATACCAATAACAAAAGATAAATACAAGTCATGGTTGACTTCTGTAATTATAAAAGGTGCTCAAAGTGGCTATCATCAGCATCTAGACACTTCTGATTACTGCGAACTAAAAGTAACACATACATTTTTTGGCACCCCCAGTGTGTGTGTACATATTTTCTGAGTTGGGGTCTCTGACACCCAGACTGGAGTGCAGTAGGGCACAATCATGGTTCACAACAGCCTTGACCACCTGAGCTCAGGTGATTATTCTGCCAGCCTCCTGAGTAGCTGGGACTACAGGTGTGCTCCACCACATCTGGTTACATTTCTTTCTTTTTTTTTTTTTCCGTGGAGATAGGTCCAGGCTGGTCTCAAGCTCCTGGACTCAAGCAATCCTCCTCTTCTGGCCTCCCAAAGTGCTGGGAGTACATCTCCCTCAGTTTCCCAAAGTGCTAGTGCTGGGAATACACCATGTCTGACCAATTTTAATATGTGTGGTTGACAAATATGCAAATAGGATAAAATTGGAAGAATCGCTAAATTAGCATCCTTTAAATCCAGACAAATTAGTAGAGCAAAGGACTAATTCTCATATGATTAAATCTAATATACATAAGTATGTGACAACTGTATAGCAAAACTCATTCCATTCCACTGACACATCCTTACAAGAACTCAACATTTCTAAGTTGTCGCACAGTGTTACAAAGGTTATTACCCATCATCTTAAAAGTCTTTTCAGTAAACGTTATACTCTACAATTGTGACAAAAGTATTATCTGCTGTCATGGCAATTTAGGACGATCAGGTTTTTTAAAGTAAAATAATCTGGAACTTCAATTACCATAATCGTATTACTTGAAGTAAGAACTAGGCTTCTTCCAATACTTTTGTTTACATGAATATAAAGCAATGTGTAATGGCACATCTCTCCTAAGGGAAAATTAATGGTTTTCATGTGGCCCCTTCCTTCTTTATTTCGTAAGTCTCAGCAGATCTTACCTTACACTGAAAATCAGATCCTTCATATTTCATACACCCTGAAGCTAATGTGGTTTCTCCTTGGTCATCTTCTTCTATGATGGCAAAGCAATGTCCGTTAGTTCTAAAAAGAGAAAAAAACCAACAACATAACTTCACATCAGAAAGTACTAATGAAATTTGAGTTTGAATGTGAACAAGTACTGATGATCTTTAGTACCTTGTGATTTAGAATTGTATTATTGTATTCACATGTGATTTACTGGCAAAAATCAAACAGATTTTAAGGCAAATAGAAGCTATGTTTGAACTAAGATATGAAAGGCCATTGAGAACCCTTTGTCAAATGGAAAAGGATTTCTATTAAACAAGTTATTCAAATATGAGTTTTCTCTGCTAATCTCAGACATATAATCAGAGTGCTGACTTATAAAACTGTATAAAGTAAATAATCTTAACGTTTTGAAAACATACTTAAAAGTAACCGGTTTTTTTCTCTCTTTTTTTAAAGTTTCCAAACAAAGTTTATTAGAGAAAGAAGAGAGGAAATTAAGAGTGACATGTCAGAGCTGGCAAGGGCAGAAGAAATCACCCATCCATAATATTTTCAGTACTCACATACTGTACACAATAACTGATAAATAAGAACATACCTTTCTGTGAAACACACAAACAGACTTATGTTTGGGAAGAACAGATTAACCAAGATGAAGGCACTTTTTAGGAAAACGTCTGAGTAGTTAAATTTTCAATAAATTTTGAAAAATATATTTACATTTAATTAAATTTTATCATTTTAGTGTTAGTATCCTGGAGTTTCCCTTAGTATATTCATTTAGACTCTAATAGGTATGGAAGAAACTTCTATGAACTTTTTCTGAAATCCTATTTATTGTTAGTATCAGTATGTTACTTCTACTTGAAAGAATTTTGCAGAATTCATTTTGTTAGGATAAAATGTTAAGTGTGGAGCAAAATTCTGTTAAAATTCATGATTTAGTTTTTTTTTTTAGTAGGTGTCTCACTCTCGCCTTGGCTCAAGTGCAGTGGCTACTCAAAGCCTTGACCTCCCAAAGTGCTGGCTACTAGGTCACTAACAAATAGTCCATACTATCAAGTAGGTACTACAAATAAAATCATTTGGAGGCATAGTGGGAGCACTCCTCTACAGACAAACAGCTCCAGTTAGGAAAGTATAAAACCTGATATTATTTTTATAATAATGAGACAATTAATTGACTGATAAGTTGAGTTGTTCAGGCATTTTTTTTTTACTTATTAAATCATTTTTTCAGTATCTCCAAATAATACGAAATAGAATTACATAAAAATGTGAATAGTTTATACATAAAATTTAGTAGAAAAGCTAAGATAGTTACACAAATCAGACTTAAACTGGGAAGTTCACAGGTCAGAAAATAACAAAATAACATTAAGCTGATATTACAATATCTTCTTTTTTTTTTTGAGTTGGAGACTCACTCTGTCTCCCAGGCTAGAGTGCAGTGGCACACTCATGGCCAACCCAACTTTTACCTGCTGGGCTCTGGCGATCCTTCTGCCTCAGCCTCCCAAGTAGCTGGAACTACAGGTGCACACTACCACACTTGGCTTATTTTGTTTTTTTAAATTTATTGTAGAGAGGAGGTCTCGCCAAGTTGCCCAGACTGGTCTCGAACCCATGGGCTCAAGTAGTCCACTCACCTCGATCTACCAAAGTGCTGGGATTACAGGCTGAGCCACCGAGCCTGGCCTATCATTCTTATATATCAATAAATGTGTCAACCAATTAAGAAGTAGAAGGTTTTATGTGATTTTTTTTTTTTTGCTTCTTCTTGGTAATCTCTAAGTTTTCTACAATGAGCATCAATAATTTTATGACAAAAGGGTTATTAAATAAGCTCAGTGTTTGATAATTATTAGATTCCTTTTTCTTATTTAATAAGCTGTATTATAGTATAACTCTAATAAAGTAACTACCAACCACCTAATAGAATAATCTTCCTATATATAAAACAAAAAGTTTTGAACTCTCTGGAAGGATACCATATATAAAGGAAAAAAGAAACCTCAGACAATTTTAACCATTTTAAAAATAGCATTAAATGTAACTTTATTCTCCTAACTCTTACGAAAGACTGCATAAAATACTTACATGCATGTGTTATTAATAGCATCATCTGGGCAGTGTCCTGAGCAATAGCACTTTAAAAAAGGCAAAGTATCCTCTGGTGCTAGGGTTACTCCATTATCTGACTTTTTCTGGTCGGAGTCTGAATTCATTCCAGTGCCGTGGAGCATACTGTCTAGATTCTGCCCTGTATTCAAATATGAGTTGGTACAGAAATCATTTCTAAAAAGCTAATTTTTGATTAAAAATTTCAGTGGGAAAAAGTTTCAAAGTTTTCTTATAGTAATAACTACAGCTAATATGTTTCTTTAAAAATATAAATTTCATTCAATTAACAGACATTTATTAGTCAACTATTATGCACAGACTTACACAGTACCAGGTTATGGGGGTGTATACAGATGGCTGTCACAATTGTTGCACTAGTGAGAAACAAAAACTAGTGGAAGACAAACAAGAATGGCACAAGGTAGAGCATGATCACAACTCGTAAAGTACAAAATGAGGAGAGACTTCAGGGTTGAGATTGTTTTCAATCATGAAAATATAGACAAATTATGATTCTTTAACTTGCGACTAGCTTTTTTTTTTTTTAGTCCTTTATTTATTTGTATTTTTTTTAGTCCTCTGTGGAAAAAGAGTTACTAAGCATCTTGCTTTGGCCTTTAATTGCTTGAGTAAGGGAATCATGAGAGCATAGCAACCAATTACGCTATCTGGAGTCTTTTACCTCAAGGTCATTGGCTTGACTCTAGACCATGATGCCAGGAACTGAAGGCTACTGGAGGGTAGTAATTAGCTTACAGAAATGCAACTGGGCTCTTGCATTAGAGTCTAGTATCCTCCAGTGACAGGTTTTGTACTGAATAATATTTCAGGCTGCAAACAGAACTAAAGCAATTGTTTTAGTAATTCCTTCCTCTCTGATGATCAGCTAAAATCAACTAGGCTATTCCTTGTGGGTTGCTCTCAAGGGAATGAAAGGTAGAGCCACACATGTAAGTGTACATATATTTTATTATAAATGTTAAATAAGTGGGTCAAGATACACCGTGGGCTTGATTTTAGCCATACTGATGAGATCAACTACTAAAGAGAAAAAACACATACACACACATACACATCGACGGCAGAAAAAGGAATTTGCTACTGAATGAGTAATTATTTATTTATTTGAGTTAGGGTCTAACTGTCACTGGTTGGAGTACAATGGCATGATGACGGCTCACCATATCCTCAACCTCCTGGGCTCAGGCGATCCTTCCGCCTCAGCCTCTTGAGTAGCTGGGACTACAGATGCATGCCACCATGCCCAGGTGACATGTTTGTGATTTTTTTTGTACAAACAAGGTGTCAGTATGTTTCCCAGGCTGTTTTCTCAAACTCCTGGGCTCAGGCAATCCTCCCGCCTCAGCTTCCAAAGTGCTGGATTATAGGCATGAGCTACCACACCCAATCTGAATGAGTATTTATTAATAGAAACAAACACCAGGAGAGAAAACACTTTTTAAAAAAGAGCTAGCGGTTTGTGTACATATATATTAGTCATCCCCCTCACCATCACTCTCCTTTCAGAAATAAAAAGGGGGACCCCCCAAAAAACAGAATTATCTTTTGGAGGGCAAGTCCCTTTAAGTACACTTGGAATTTCTTCCCCAGGATCAAATGGTCAACCAAAGTTTTTATCTGTAAGTTTTGAGAAGGCTGTGTCACAATTTGAGAAAGAAACATCTTGAGTTATGGCAAATAGACACACACCCTGAGTTCAGTAGTTTTTGACCAAAAATAGCATGACTGCTGCGCCCCACCCTCCCTGTTCAATTGTCTTGCCCCTAGTAATTTTGTTTTGTTTCCCCAGATGAAAAAAACATTTTGCCGATGTAGGAAAATGTGGAGGAAGGGAACTGACAAATTCAAAAACTGCTTTGAGCAGTGGAAAAAGAGTCTCCACATGGGTACTGCATCAAATGGAGAGTACTTTGAAGGTGACTGAAATTTAAACATATAAGAATAAATATACAATTTTTTATACATAAATTCTGGGGGTTTTTGGGTCCCCCCATCATAAATACTATAACAACAAGGCTTCTGTTAACCCTATAAAGTGCTACAAAACATAAAGATCTCATTTGTATTAAGAACATCAACTATAAAAGATAGAAGAAGGGCAGGGGATACAGGAGGGAAAGAAACCCACTGGGCAGAAAATTAGGAAACTCAGATTCTGGTCTATTGTAGGTCTACCCATCTAGCTAGCTAGATGATCTTAAGTAAGCCATGCAACTTCTCCAGACCGCATTTACTCAAGGCCACAGGACTAGAGGACATCTGAGGTCTCCTAACAAGCTCTGAAATCCAATTACAGTAACAGAAGAGATTATGAATTCAACTGTGGAGAATAAATGGCAAAAAACGTACCACATGCAACTGATTTTTCAAAAAGCTAATTATATAGAGTGGTAGAAATAACACTGAAGTAACAGTAAGAAGTCAAGGGTTCAAGTCCCAGTTATGGACATAGACAAGTTATTCTCTGAATCTTAGTTCCCTATCTATAGAGAATGGTGATAACACCTACCTAATTCAAACAAAGAGGTTATATACAGATCAAATCAATGTATAATAAAGTGCCTATGTAGACATAAGATAGTATACAAGTGAAGACTTTTTTTTTTTGAGTTGGGAGTCTCACTCTGTTGCTCACAGCCACTGCACCCTCGATCTACTGGCTCAGGCAGTCCTCCCATCTCAGCCTTCCAAGTAGCTGGAACTACAGGAATGTGCCACCACATCCGGCTAATTTTTTGATTTATCGTAGAGATGAGGTCTCACCAAGTTGCCCATGCTGGTCTCGAACCCACAGGCTCAGCTAAGTCTCTTTTAATCTATACGTTTTACCTTCTTCTTTCTTTCCTTGAAATGCACTTATTGAAGAAACTGGGTAATTTGTCTTATAGTATTGAACACCCTATGACTTTTCTGATCGCACCCTCTTGGCCCTCTTGGTATCATTTGACATGTTCTCTTGTCCTCTATAGTTTTTGTAAATGGTAGTTAGATCTAGAGCTATGCAGCCCAGTGTTGTAGCCACAATCCACATGTGGCCTTTGAGCACCTGAAATGTGGCTACTTGATAAGGAGGGATACATATGTCTAGTCATCTCTATTTTTAAAAACTAAGTTCATTAATTCAGTAAGGGTAGTATAAAATGGTGTATTCTATTATTTCTTCTTATTTATTACCTGGAATACCTCTGTAATGAGATACTTTCCCTCATCTACTAATCGAATACAAGTGGCATGGTTCATATAAGAAAGGTCAGATTAATGCTTGCTTTCTCTATTTACCAGTTTTCAAAATTAATGAGTTAATTTGCATCTTTCAACAGTAGTCAATTAGGTTTTTTTAAAAGTGTTATTACCAACTCATGGATTTAAACATATTTGATTTGTTTCAATTCACTGCAGTTATTATCCTTACTAATGCTCAAATTGTTCCATCTCTGGCCAATGCAAACTGGTCCCTGAATCCTCTGAACTTTCTCTTGCTTGCTGGCCAAAATATACCAAGATCACCTTGGTTTTCTCTGCCACAGATTTAAAGTCAGCAAATTCTCCCAGGAGTTCCAGATCCTTTTAATGAAAACAGATAATCAGAGATCACAATCTGAGTGTTACAAGTGCTTATTGCTACTGGGTTGGTTAGTATAAAAATACATGGCTGAGAAAATAGTTTGGCAATTTGCTTTTTTCACTTTAACCATATTCATCCATTAAACAAAAATGTATTGAGAAAATACACAGTGCTAGGCACTATTTTAAGCCTTGGGTGACTATAACAGTAAACAACAGTAAGGGTCCCCTCCCACTCTTGGAGCTTTTCTGTCCTCTCAATAAATCCTGCTTTTAAAACAAAACAAAACAAAAGTCCCTTATCTACTAAAGCTTAGACTTAGATAAAAAAGACCAATCAATACTGACATTTGATACTATTTTAATTTCTTTTTTAATAGAAACAAGGTCTTACTATATTGCCAGGGCTGGTCTCAAACTCTTGGGCTCAAGTAATCTTCCCGCCTCAGCCCCTCAAAGTGCTGGGATTACAGGCATAAGTCACCAGATCCTGCCAAAATTTTTTTTTTTCTTTTCTGAGTCGGGGTCTCATTCTGTCACTGAGGCTAGAGTGCAGTGGCACAATCATGGTTCACCTCAGCCTCGATGCCTCAGCCTCTGGAGTAGCTGGGACCATAGGCATGCATTTTTTCTGTAGAGATGAGGTCTCGCTATATTGCTTAGTCTGTTTTCAAGCTCCTGGGCTCAAACAATTCTCCCACCTTAGCCTCCCAAAATTCTAGGATTACAGATGTGAGCCATTGTGCCTGGCCACTATTTTAATATTTATTCATAGATAAGTAATATGAAACCAAACAAAGCTGGACCATTTTCTAGCACTGAAAAGGAGCCCAGTGCCTAAGAGCAGATGTCATTAAACCAGAGGCCAGGAAAATTGGCAGAGCAAAGGATGGTGGCTAAAGGTCAGGAATTCTCTGAATACCACACCTAGACAAGATATTTAGTAGGGTTTAATGTGTTTCATAGACCTCAGCAACAGAGATCAGAAGCAAACATAATATAAGACTACTAAAATTTTAAAGGAACTTTACTACTAAAGATATCCCAATAGTAAGGCTGACTCAGGCTGTGCATTTTCAGTCTATGAGGCAATTTCTAGTAACCAGACTTCCATACTAACAAGCTTAAAGCTGTTTGGTCTCCAGAAAATCTATCCTACACAAAGACCATCTCAGAGTCCATGTAGCCAAGAAAAACCAGAGATACGGGAAATCCTCACAGAAAAAACTGGGGGCTGTCAGATAAGCTATCCATCCTTAATCTACATCCTATGGAAAAGTGACTATTGAAGTTGTTTCCAATTTTCCTTCCTCTGAATGGGAGTTTATATAGTACTGATCCTATAGCATCATAATTGGATACAGGGTAGACTGCACATTGATAGTTTGTCTTTTAGCCACATGTTGCTAGAACATTAAGAGGCACATCTGCACCAGAAGGAGAGGACTGCACACCGCCCAGAAGTACACTAAATAGATGAAACTGGGTTTACAGACCCTTAGAACAGGAACTGGATATTTCATAGCATTACAAGCAGCATTTTTAGTATATGTATGTAAGAGTACGTATAATGTTAGGGGGACAAATATGGTAATCTGCAACAGATATTGTTAGTTATTCTTCCCTTTACCTTGCTGGCACAGGTAAGTGTGTATATATGGGTACACACACCCTTTTTGTGTTCAAGTGTCTGCTTTCCACCATGTGATTCAGGGAAGCACAGCCTTACCCTCGGCAGAGATAACTGTTGGTCTAATCTAACAATTTTACTTCCATTCCGCCTGCCAGTGATTTGTTTAACACAAGAGCATATAATGAATTTTGGCTAAGATTAGAAGGAAATCTGTTGGGGGGGGTTACGTGGGGTAAGATTTACCAATTAAAAACAGACACAGAGATAGTCATCCCTCCTCTTTCACTGAATGTTGTCAATTCAATGTTACCATATCTGCATATGATGTCTGGCCCCTCAGCAGCCACACTGTGGCTATGAAGTGAGTTAACCTATGGGTAAATGCTCAACTGACATAAAGAACTTGGTTCTTGATGAGCACATAATTTACTAACTGCAATCCCCTTACTTTCAGACTTTGTGTATGATATTACATTTTTTTATTGTTTAAGCTCTTTTGAATTGCTTTTTTGGTTACCTGTAGTGAAAAACATTCTAACAGATAGAAGAGATAAAATCTGCCCAGGTTCTTTTAGTTGGTGAACTCATATCTATTATCCCCTTTTTCCTAGTTAACCAAACTCTGATTTTGTTTGGGGGGACAATGTATCCAGTCCTAGGTAATGGATATAGATTAAGCTAAGTCAATTGTGACAATCCTGTTCCTGTTTTCCAGAAATTCTTATGAGGAATGATTACGATTTAAGAGAAAATCTGCTGGCAGGGTGTAGTTTCTGGGGACACTTTTGCTTTCCTGATATAAGGTCCAGTTGAGGCTAGAGCTGGCCCTTTCTTCATTTCACCCGCCTCAAATGCAGATAATAGCATCCATGATGAACCATGAGGGAAATGCCAAGAAAATTAGACATGTGAGGTAGCAAATATAATATTACTATTTTTTATTTTTATTTTTTTGAGTTGGAGTCTCACTCTGTCGCCCAGACTGGAGTGCAGTGGCCGCTTCCAGCCACTGTAGCCTCGACCTGCTGGGCTCCAGCAATCCTTCCGCCTCAGCCTTCCAAGTAGCTGGAACTACAGGCATGCGCTACCACACCCGGATGATTTTTTTATTTATTGTAGAGATGAGGTCTCGCTGCCCAGGAGGGTCTCGAACCCGCGGGCTCAGGCAATCCACTCACCTCAGCCTCCCAAAGGCGCGGGATTACAGGCTGAGCCACCGAGCCCGGCTAAGTCTTTTACTAAAAATAAAATTATTTAAAAATTATTATTTGCACTTACTCCTTATTGTATTTTGAAGGAGACAGAACTTTTGAAGCTCAGCCTTGAGTACCTATTACCCTGTCTTTTAGGAATTAAATCAGGTGCTTTATGTACTTTATCTTACTTGATCCTCACAAGACCTGATACCATGTATCATCATGGCTACGGGTGAGAAAACAGGCTCAGAGAGACTGAGATTTTTAAAAATACTTGAAAATGTTTCTATCACAAATTTAAAAGTTACTTGACACGTGTTTGATCTTTGCCACTTTACTTAAAAGCAGTGCTAGTATGCTGGGTCTAACTATTTAAAAAGGAACATAAGTTGAAAGAACAACTGCAAGAAATAGTGCTTTTTTATACAGAGAAATAAATTGTTGAACATTGATTTACCTTGAACATAAAAAATGATGAATAGATAAGCTCCCAATAATCTGATGCAAATATATAGCTGAGTCATCATTCAATTTTAATGTTTCCTGAATACTGTCACTGTCAATAACTAGTCCTGCTATTTTACTAATTTGAATGACTATTATTCAATGAGATTTTCTTGTAAAAGGCTGCAAGCATTTGACAATGACTCCAACTCCCACTGCTTTCTCCTGACTCCTGAAAGACAAAAGTTTAAAAAGATAATAAGCATAACTGAATTCTGGAACATTTTCCAAAAAACACGTTCAAACAATCAAATACATTTTAAAGATTAACAATATCCTTGTTTTTTTAAAAGGAGCTATAATTCCAAAATTTCAATATATATATATTTAAATCTAAGTACAGTGTGCAGAGGTTTGAATAATTGTTAATAGCTTGCAACCTCTCCTGATTTCAGATCAGCCATATGTAAAGCAAGAAAAGTACACTAAATAATTTCAATAGTTTTTCCTGGCTACTCTACAGTAACTAAGTTATTTTATTATTAGCCAGAAAATTCCTAAATATAGTAAGAATTAAACAGGAAGTGTCAAATGTAAAACATAAAGCTATCCATCAATATTCTTTCAAATGCTAGTAGATAAAAACACCGCATGTCTTTCTAACAAATAATTTATTCTATAGGTAGAAAAGAGAGCCTAGAAAATTACACACTTAAGTAAGCAGTGTGCTTCATTATTAAAGCAAAAACAAATAGAAATGTACCTTAAATAAAATTATTCTCCTAAAACATTGCAAATCTGACTTAAACATGATAAAATTGAGCTTTTAAATAAGAACGTGAAACACAATCTCTCCAATTAAGATTTAGCGATTATTAATATAGACAATGAACTTTTAAAGGTCTCAAAATAGTGAAATAAATAACAAGGGGAAGAAAGCTAGTTTGTTTCAAGATAAATGTAACTCTATTTCCCAACATCCTATTGTTTTAGGCAGTTTGATTTTCCTGACTTCAGCCTGAACTATTCCTGAATGTAAAAATTTTGCTGATTTATAACACAATTGCCCTGGTGTAATTTCCACTATTCATAACTTGGGCTTTCTATTTCATCTTTTTCACCTTCATTAGCTCTCCAAAGGTAAAGTATTGAAGCAAATAAGGTTTACAATAATGTATCATTTAGATACGCATTTTATATATGGCTCAGTTCTAAAATCCCTGCAATCTCTTTATTTCTCTACTATAAAATTAAATTGTTTTCCATCATATCATGCTGAGAGAATAAGAGGTAAGGCCTAAAATAATTACAGAATTATTTGTCACAAGACTTAACAGTATGTCTTAGAAAAACTTTTTCAAAGTATTCAATTGTGAGTCTAGGGATACTTGTTCCGAGTTTCAAAAGTAGGACAAGTTTGCAGTATATTTCCAACTCTGATCTCTCTCCCCATTTCTTTTTGCCCATTAAATGGAATTACAGTTCACCTGTCTAAACCACACTCATGCCTTTCCTCCATGCTCCTGTAGATGTGCTGTAGGTCTCTTCCTCCACTGGTTATCACAGGAAAAGGCAGCACCATCCCTCCCAGTCACCATACCAAGTAACCCTGGTTTCATTCCTTCCTCCCTTGCTAGCTCTCAGCTCCTGGCTGTACTTTCACTCATTCATCTACTCACTTATTCACCAACATCTGTTGAGTACTTATTACAGACCAGTGTAGGGTATTAGAAATACAAATATGAGTATGGTCTGCCTCTGCTTCAAAGAGTTCATAGTCTCAGCCAGGAGACTGACTACTATGCCTTGCTTTCAGTGTCACTGTTTCTTGTTTTTTTGAGTCAGAGTCTCACTCTGTCTCCAGACTGGAGTGCAGTGGCACGCTCATGGTCACCGCAATCTTGATCTGCTAGGCTCAGGAAATTCTTCCAAGTAGCTCGAACTAGGCATGTGCCACCACATCCGGCTAATTTTTTGATTTATTATAGAAATGCGGTCTCGTCAAGTTGCCCAGGCTGGTCTCAAACCCCTGGACTCAGACAATCCTCTCGTCTCAGTCTCCCAAAGTGCTGGGATTACAAGCGTGAGCCACCATGCCCTGTCTGCAAAAAAATTTTATAGACAAAAAACCTGTGATAACTTGTATGGAGACAGCCATCCAATCTTAGCTGACTATACACTCAATATGTATCTGTATTGACAAATGCTGAAACATTAACGCAATCTTGTCATGCATTAACGGACGCATACTGCTGTAAATCAGAGGATAACCATTTTGCTTCATTCTACCTGATCAGGCCTCTTAAGCACTTTAGAGAAGAATGACAGAAATGCAAGAACATAGAAACCACCCCCAGCTGAGATAAAACCAAACTGAGAACCAGGAAAGGAACAAACTTTGAATGCACCTTTGCCGGGGGCATGACCAATATGATAGAAAGGGAGACTAATTAAATGATCTATCAGATCCCTTCCAACACTGATGTTGTATGTAAACAGTGGTCCTGCCACTGAATATTAATTTGTTCCCTAAATGTTTATTAAGTACCTATGTCATGTATGATTCTATAATAGATATTGAGAATAGTATTGAGAGCAAACACACCTAGCCTCCATGAAGTCCACAGTCATTAAATAAGACAATTAAGCTATTCAGACACTGAACAAGACAGTGGTATATAAATCATAATTTGCAGTTAGTGCAAAGGAAGAAAAGTGTCAGGTCTTGGAGGAATACAGGGCAATAACCTAATCTAATTTAGATGGAGGGGTCAAAGAAAGCCATGCCTAAAAGTGACATTAAGAATTAAAGAATAAAGAGTTATAGCAAATTAAAAAAGGGAGAAGTTATAGGCATAAGAACAGCCTGTGCAAAAATCTTGAAGCAAAAAGCAAACGAAACATCTACTGTTTGAAATGTTGAAAATAAAGGACAGTGTGGTAGGAGATGAAGGTGAAGAGACATAGAAGACAAAGACCAGGTCAGCAAGATCATATGAAGGATTTGAGATTTAAACTTCAGTGGCCATTGTTGTCTATATAATCGACAGGAGGGGGTAAGAGCAAAAACAAACAGACCAGTAAAAATACTGTGGAAATTTAGAATGATAATAGTGGTTACGATCAGGGTGGCAGACGGACACAGTGGCTCATGCCTGTAATCCCAGCACTCTGGAAGGCTGAGGGGAGAGGATTACCTGAGCTGGAGGGTTTGAGACCAGTCTGGGCAACATGGCCAGACCTTATCTCTACAATAAATCAAAAAATTAGCTGGGTGTGGTGGCACATGCCTGAAATTCCAGCTACTTGGAAGGCTGAGGTAGAAGGATCGCCTGAGCCCAGCAGGTCGACGCTATGGTGGCCATGAGCAGCATGCCACTATACTCCAGCCTGGGTGACAGAGTGAGACTCTGACTCAAAAAAAAAAAATTATTAGGGTAGCTGTGGTACAGTGGATGGATTCATGCTATCCTTCAAAAACAGACTCAGTAGTACTTGGTAATGGCTTAGATGTGGGGTATGGGAAAGCAAGGGGTCAAAGAAAATAGGTGATTTTGAAAGAGTTTCCGTTAATGCTTGACAAGATTGCATTCATGTTTCAGCATTTGTCAATACAGATACGTATTGAGTGTAAAGTCAGCTAAGATTTGATGGCTGTCTCCATACAAGTTATCACAGGTTTTTTGCCTACAAAAATTTTTTGCCGGCAGGGCACGGTGGCTCACGCTTGTAATCCCAGCACTTTGGGAGACTGAGGTGAGAGAATTTTCTGAGTTCAGGGGTTCGAGACCAGCCTGGGCAATTTGTGAAGAGATCAAAGGTTCAAATTTAGACATCTGATATTACCCAAAAGAAACAGCTAATGGGCTTCTGGTTCTGAAGCTTCAAGGAAGCATCTGGGGCAGAAGATATAAACCGGTTATGTCAAAGCATAAAGATATTCAAAACTATGGGGCTGGATAAGATAAACCTCTAAGAGAGTAAAAAGAGAAGAGGTGGGCTGGGCTCGGTGGCTCAGCCTGTAATCCCAGCGCTTTGGGAGGCTGAGGTGAGTAGATTGCTTGAGTCTGCGGGTCCGAGACCCGCCCGGGCAAATTGGCGCGACCTCATCTCTACAATACATCAAAAAAAATCAGCCGGGCATGGTAGTGCGCGCCTGTAGTTCCGGCTACTCGGAAGGCTGAGGCGGAAGGATCGCTGGAGCCCAGCGGGTCGAGGCTGCGGTGGCCAGGAGCGGCCACTGCACTCCAGTCTGGGCGATGGAGTGAGACTCCAACTCAAAAAAAAAAAAAGAGAAGAGGCCCCTAGAATACCATTCATTTAAAAAATACATTAATAGCCGGGCTCGGTGGCTCAGCCTGTAATCCCGCGCCTTTGGGAAGCTGAGGTGAGTGGACTGCCTGAGCCCACGGGTTCGAGACCCGCCTGGGCAACTTGGCGAGAACTCATCCCTACAATAATTCAAAAAAATTAGCCGGGTGTGGTAGCGCACGCCTGTAGTTCCAGCTACTTGGAAGGCTGAGGTGGAAGGATCGCCGGAGCCCAGAAGATCGAGCTGGCAGTGGCCGGGAGCGGCCACTGCACTCGTCTTGGCGACAGAGTGAGACTCCAACTCAAAAAAATAAAGTAAGATAAAAAAATAAAAACTACATTAATAATTAAATGCCATATACCTTTGTGTGGCACTCACTGTGATATTCAAGATCCACGGTATACAACATTACCATGTGCATATTACCACAGCTGGAATATAAACTATTCACAAGTGGTATTTTTCACAGTTAAAGGTAGAGCCTAACTCTCTCCCTTGAACATGGACTGGATTTAGTGATTTACTTCTAATAAAGTAAGATGGAAGCAACAGTGTGTGACTTCTGTAACTAGGTCATAACAGGGACTTCTGTTTCCTCTGTGCTCTGTCTTGAAAAACTCACTTCAGGGAAGCCAACTGCCATGTCATTAAGGACACTCAAGGAACCCCATAGAGACTGCCAACAGCGATGTGAATAAGCCACCTTGAAGTGGATCCTTCAGCCCCAGGGAAGCTTTCAAGTGACAGCAGCTTTATAGACACCTCAACCACAATTTCATGAGACCCTTAAGCTAAAACCACGAATTTTACCCTCAGAAAATGTATGAGGCTGAGCGCAGTGGCTCATGCCTGTAATCCCACTTTGGGAGGCCAAGGCAGGAGGATCACTTAAGGCCAGGAGTTTGAGGATACAATGAACT